AGCTTCATGCCACATTTCTAAATCTACCAAAAAATAGTTAGAATAACATGACATTAAAGATTTGTCATACCCTTCTAGCAGCCCGGATCTTAATCCGATAGAGACACTTTGGCACAAAATGAAACAACGCCTAAGAAATAACCCTCAGCGTACTTTGCCACAACTACGTGCCAAATTACAAGAAATATGAGATAGTTTCACCCCTGAATTCTGTAAAGACCTAGTTGATACAATCCCTAATAGAGTTCAGGCTGTTATTTAAGCTAAGGGCGACGATACGCCCTATTAATTTTCATTTTAATTTGTTAATATTCTCTTGTTCCAATATTTAGTTGTCAGCATTTTTTGGCTATCAAACTATTAATTAAATAGTAATTAACATAAAATACAAATATAATTAAACTGTAAAAATAATTCCATATATCATAAAAAATGTTGTTAATTTCATATTTACAATTAAAAAAATTTTAAAATACCTACATGAATTTAAAATACAAATTTATCAAAAGCAGTTTTTAAATATCTTTATCAAAGAGTGTTACGAAAAATATTTTTTTTACTAATTTCTCTGATTTAATTTAGTTTTAATAAAATATTGTAGCAAACCTATTTTTTCTTTTAAACGTCCTAGATCATTAATAACTTTTGTAGATGCTTTAAAGAACACTGAAAACATCGTTGTTTGTAGAAAAACACATTAAATAAATACTTTATTACAAAATAAATGCAAATATATCTCAACAAGATCAACAAACACTAATGTAGCCGCATGTGACTCATAACGGCGAACTTACTACTAAACCACTTGCCGCAAACTTCACAGGCACACGTCAAAGGCTCCTCGATGTTGTGCACGGTCTTGCGGTGGCCTTTCAGCGACACCTTTTGGCGAAAACTTTGACCGCAAATGTTACACGTAAACGGCATGTCTTGCGTGTGCTGTCGCTCGTGCGTGCGTAGCGCAAACTTCGAAGAGAACTTCCTTTGGCATTGTTCGCATTCGAAGGGACGAAGTTTTTGGTGGGTCATCTTTTTGTGCTTGTTCAGATTGTAGAAGGTGAGGAAGCTTTTGCCGCAGACGTCGCATATGTGTGGTCTTTCACCTACATGAGAAAAACCAGAAAATACTAAGTTATACACAAAAATACGAGGAATACACTTACCAGTGTGTTCTCTTTTGACATGCAACAACAGAGCATATGACTTCTTGAAAGATTTATCAC